GTTACTCATATTTGGCTCAGAATAAACCTCTTCAAATATTTTACAGAGTTTGACACTTTTCATCGACAAAGTAACACTCTTTGGCAAGATTCCCCTGACATATTTTGTCCATCTGTTTATTTAAAATTTTGATTGCGCTTGCTTTGGGAGTATCTCTTGTCAACACTAATAATTATAGATGCACTGTTTTAACTGTATCTCATATAGACCTGAACTCATTGGGTTTAATTTTGAGATTCAATGCATGAGTAAATGCCATTTGTAGGTATTATTACTGGAGACAGTTTCACTCTCATTTTGTTTAAGTGTGCTTTCTTAGTTTGTATCTTTGCTACATGGCCTGTATTTTTTTTTTTAGGTAATTTCACTCTTCTCCCTGTGGTAATTTGAAAATTATTAAGACTGATCTTCTTTCAATTTTAAGTAACATACTTAAAAGTGAACATTCCAAGTCGTCTTCATTCAACCTCATAAAGCAAAACAAAATCTACTTACTTCTCCCTGTGGAAGATGAGGGCACTCACCCCCTTAGACTTCCTTCTATAAGCTTCAAGATTGTGTCAGAACATATTAGGATTTTTATTTGTCTATTGTTGTTATTTTTAACATTATGTAGCTTTTCTATAAATAGGTATAACATCTACATTCTGTACTATGAACATGATTTTTCTATTTTTATTTTCTATTTTCTATTTTTATTTTTCTATTTTCTATTTTTAAATAATTTAAATAATTTACTGCTTACTCTCAGTCAGGGGTAGCCACCTATTTTCTGTTTTGTTTTGTTTTGTTTTTTGAGACAGAGTCTTGCTCTGTCACCCAGGCTAGAATGCAGTGGCGCAATATCCACTCACTGCAAGCTCCACTTCCTGGGTTCATGCATTCTCCTGCCTCAGCCTCCCAAGTAGCTAGGACTACAGGCACCCGCCACCACGCCCGGCTAATTTTTTGTATTTTTTAGTAGAGATGGAGTTTCATCATGTTAGCCAGGATATTCTCGATCTCCTGACCTCATGATCCGCCTGCCTCAGCCTCCCAAAGTGCTGGGATTACAGGCGTCAGCCACCGCGCCTGGCCGGCCACCTAATTTTTAAGGCCCATTTCAAAATGAAAATGTAGAGCCTTTGTTCAAACATTATTAAGAATTTTCAGATGACAACAGCTGAGCATTAAGTCACGTGAGGCCTGTTTCAGCACAATGCCCTCTACAACCGCATCCTAAGCCTAGGAAGACCGCCCTGCTGCCAGTCTTTTCATGCCCTTCCCCATTTGTCACTTAGTTTGATTTCTCATTTGGTAGACTGGGTATAGACTTTGCACCAGTCCCTGCCCTGCTGGCCCTCAGAGTCCTTCCTTCCCCTTCCCCTGCTGTGCCCTGAGCCATAGGTTCTTGACTCAGCTGGTTTTTCAGCTAGATTTGGCCAACAGGAATGTCTGTCAATAAATTGGAAGGATGGAGGAAGGTGAAGCAGAATCTTTTTCTCCCAGTTCATCTCAGTCAGCATCTCAGGAACCAGCTCCTCACTGTCTAAAGCACTATCTCCATCCCCACTGGACAGGCCTGCTAGGATTCCAGATTCCTTCAGGCAACTCTGACCCCTGGCCTGACTCCTTTGTCCAGTCAGCCCAGGGACTGGCTATTGGGCTAATCTTGAAGTATATTAATGTTATTTGTTATCTTAGCTCTTACATCAACAGTGAAACTGAATTCCTTTATTCAGTTCCTCCTGTTTCAAATACTCATGAGAAATATACTTCTTGATTTTATACAAAGAAGAGATGGCTGTCTGTTACCTTCATATGCAGATGACAGTCTAGCATGATGTAGAATTCATGAGTTGCATGTGTTTATTTTACTAAAGTTTGGAGCAGTGCCTCTCGTATGTTAGCCATGCATCTGAATCACCTGGAGGGCATATCAAGACACTGATTTCTGAGTTCCACCTCCAGAGAATTGAAGTTAGTATGTCTGGGATAGTGGTCCAAGATTTGGCATTCTAACAAGATCCCAGGTGATGCTAAAGCTGCCAGCCTACAGACCACATGCGAGTGGCATTCCTCTGAAACTCGCTCCATTATCTGCTAGCATTTAATGCTACTTAGAAGATGTGTGAGTTCAGTCTCAGTTTTTAAGTTTAATAGGTGACAGGAGTATTCATAAGGTTATCTTTAATCTGGTAGTTCAGCAAATTTTCCAGAATGTTGTGGCATTAGCCAGCCATTGTAAATTTTCTTCTTGATCAGATGATCGCTACCTTCCTTCATTTTAGAGAAAATTTCTTCTAAAATATTTTTAAGAATATGTTTGTTTCTGTTTCATTTGTTCTCTCCTCTATTTGAGGCAGAACCACCAAAGTATCCACATGTTGGCCTCTACTGTGGCTCCCTCGTGCATGCTGGTTCTCCCAGGTTTCATGCACCTTGGGAGAATCCCTGATGAGCCCAGTTCTCCAGATAATTGATGGACTGGCAAGAAAACTAGGCACTCTGGTAACTTTGTCCTCACATACATTTCTTTTGAATCTGTGGTCCACTTAGTGGAAAGTAACTCAGCCAGCCATGGGTCAGGCTGCTTGCAGGACCTGGGTCTCCATAATGGAAAGTCCATGTAGGCACCTGCTATTTCTTGATTCTACTACCAGTGTCATTCTGTGGTGAGGAACTGAGCTCCTTTCTTTTCTTGGCTTTCCCAGATTCTTAAGTGCTATTCTCCAAATTGAAGGGAACTTAGAAAGATCTTCAAAAATTCCCATGCTTTCTCTTCCCTCACTGCCTGCAACATGTTCTATGGAACTATATGTTGACTCTTCCTTCAACCTGTTCCAAAGTAAACAATCTATTGGCTGTTGTTTACAATCAGTGTGATATGGTTTGACTGTGTCCCCACCCAAATCTCATCTTAAATTGTGGCTCCCACAATTCCTACATGTCATGGGAGGGACCTGGTGGGAGGTAATGGAATCAAAGTTTCCTTTGCTGTTCTCATGATAGTAAGTCTCATGAGATCTGATGGTTTTATAAAGGGGAGTTCCCCTGCACATGCTGTCTTGCCTGCCACCATGTAAAATGTGCCTTTCCTCCTTCTTTGCCTTCTGCCATGATTATGAGGCCTCCCCAGCCACATAGAACTGTGAGTTTATTAAACCTCTTTTTCTTTGTAAATTATGCAGTCTCAGGTATGTCTTTATTAGCGGCATGAGAACAGACTAAAACACAGTGAAAATAGAGAACATACTTGTTTTCTGAATAGACAAAGTTTTCTGAACTACAAATTAACATTTTTGTTCATTTAGGTGATTATAAGGAAGGTGTTACTTTTTTATTTCCCAGTAAGTTTTCTTTCCTAGTTTAAAGATAACTCATAAGGAGCAAGAGATTTTCCGGTATGAAGAGAGGAATAATGCAGTGTGGTTTTCAAGGAGTCAGAAGGAGTGAGGAGACTCTATAAACCACATTCTTACTCTGAAGTACTTTAGAGTTTGAGAGAATAAGTAGTTTCTACTTGAGATAAAAAGCAATGTCCTTAAGAGAAATCCAAGTTACAATTAAAGCAAGGAAAGGCAAGGAACTGTCAATAAAGAAGCAGTCTATGGAAAAAGGGAAGTTTGCTAATCATGTAGCTGGACTTCCAAAGCATAACTGGAAGTTCTATGCAGCATGGGAGGAAAAGGGTGTTGGGCCAAGGGAGAAAATTCAGAATCTTATGGTGATACAAGCACGGGAGAGAATAGGGGACCAAAGGAGCTTATGATTCGAATGGCATTCAAAGAAACCAGGAACGTTCAGCAGAGAGGGTTGCTACTTCAGACAAAAAAGAGGGGAGGGTGCAGCAGCTCCCTTCATCATCTGATGGAGTTAGGCATCTCAGGTAGTGAGCAAGGAAGTCCAAATCTAGTCACTAGGTGCTCAGGAGTGGGCAGTCATCCTGCCAGCTTGGACCCTGTGTGTCTGGTTCCAGTGAAGATTAAGTCATCAAACCAAGGGAGCACAGGGACCAAGAGGTAAGCTGCAAAAACTACAGCTCTTCTCGAGACATCCCCTACAAGACCCTGTCCAGAGACACCGGAGGAGGCAATGGTGCTGGTCAGCGCTTTGTGCCATTTTGTGGCCTCTCCCACCTGCCCCCTCTTTTTGGTCCAAGTTCTTGTCCCGCCTGCTTACCCACCCACTGCCTGCCTATGGTCCTTCCCTCTCTGGTCTTTAGTGTCCTCACTGGTAAAATGAACATAACATCTCTAATCATGCATATTCATGTAGTGAGGTAGATAATGTGAAAGGGCTTTGAACAATGTAGCAAGGCAAAGAGAGTAAGATGCTGACTTCCCGTCTTCCCAATTCCTGCTTCAGAACTGCTCTCCTAGGCTCCAAGCCCCTGCCTCTGTTAGCCCCTTGATCAATCTTTGTCTGTGGAGAGGCAAAACTACATGGTATCCCAAGAACAGGGACCAATATTACAGCCCCATTTCTTTTCTTTGCTATTTCCCTTGATCACTCTTTTTTTTTTTTTTGAGACGGAGTCTCGCTCTGTCGCCCAGGGTGGAGTGCAGTGGCTGGATCTCAGCTCACTGCAACCTCCGCCTCCCGGGTTTACGCCATTCTCCTGCCTCAGCCTCCCGAGTAGCTGGGACTACAGGCGCCCACCACCTCGCCCGGCTAGTTTTTTGTATTTTTTAGTAGAGACGGGGTTTCACCGGGTTAGCCAGGATGGTCTCGATCTCCTGACCTAGTGATCCGCCCGTCTCAGCCTCCCAAAGTGCTGGGATTACAGGCTTGAGCCACCGTGCCCGGCCCCCTTGATCACTCTTAAACCAAGAAACTGAGATCTTTTCTCTGGTTGGTGGGGCTTCCTCACTGGAACAAAGGGGAGTATGTACATTTCATAATAGAGTTCTGTGATGAAATGTCCTAAGGAGCTACATGTACATTTCATAATAGGCATTCTGTGATGGAATATTCTGAGGGGATAAAAGCTGGAATCGGTCTCAGCACATCTCAGTTACTCATTTTGATTCGTTTGGACAAGTGAGTTACTACAGCACTTATTTGGAAAAATGACTAGAAAGCTACCTCCAATCTCTCGGCCTCAACCCCAGGCTCCATTTCTTTCTGTTCCTTCCCGCTCTCGTCTTCCAGCCCTCCTTCCCCCCGTTACTCCTCAAACTTCCTGCCCTCAGCCTCCTCTCCAGAGCCGTCCATCTTGTTCGATTTTCCGCCCTACCCGTTTGCCCAAGCTGACTGATGTCTCCCCTTCCCAGTACCCTACCTCAAGGAACTTTCTGCCCAGCTCTTCCTCTGTTACTACCAGAGCGTCTGTGTGCCACCACCCTGTTCGTCAGGCACCCCTTTCCCAGTGCCCTCCTATCTTCCCCCCTCGCCCTCCTCATAGCCCTTCCTGCTAGTTTCCTGTACTCTAGTCCCCACTCCCTATCCAGCTACCCCCCACCAGACCTGACGACTTACAAATCTCACCCTGGAGAAATGGTTTCCCTCCTACTGGGGCAATTCTCAGGAGGTTCAGAATTGCCAGGACTGTGGATTCCCAGCAACGACCTGGCAGACACGGGGAATCCAAGACCATGGCAAGCGAATATTCAGCCTGGCCTGTGCCTTTCCTCTCCTGCCTGGGCAGCCAGACTGCACAAGCGTCTGCATTTGAACTGGCTTCTCCGTGGAACTTGGTCTGTAACCACAGAGCAAACTGTAGAACCAGGAGCAGAGAAGGTAGGGGATTGAAAAGCATCGAATCTGTTCTCAAGGAGGGAGGTGATTGGCCAACGTGAGGTCCAGTTTTATGTTCATTATCTCCTGGGTTTGCCAGTTGATGGCAAGCCTTTTTCCTGGCAGTATCGAGAGGCAGTTCTAGTAAAGAGGCTGGATTCCGAGAGGCCAGAGCGGTATCATACGAACGCTGTTGCCTGGAGATGGAGTGGGGCGCTGTTGCCTAGAGACTGCAGGAGGCCCGCGGCCGAGCGAGTGGTAAGAGGACGCCAAGAGAGCGCCGGACCCACCGAGCAGCTCCAAGGCCATGGCGGGACACCCGAAAGAGAGGGTGGTCCCAGATGAGGTCCATCAGAACCAGATCTTGCGGGAGCTGTACCTCAAAGAGTTACGAACCCAGAAACTCTACACTCAGTACCACGTGAATCCCCTGCGCAAGGTTCACAGGATTACGAGGAAGCCCATGTCTTGGCATGATAACCTGGAGGAACCCGCAGACGCCAGGTTTCTGAATCTCATTCACCATGCTGCCCAGGGGCCAAGGAAGAAGTACCCGGAGGCACAAACTGAAAACCAGGAAATTGGGTGGGACTCAGAGCCCTTGGTCGACCCAGAACGCAGTGACCGTAGGATGAACCACTTCAGGGTCTACAATGACATCACTCTGTACAAAGCTAAAATGTGGAGCTTGGGAGAAGATGATCGCCACAAGTAGCATCTCAGCAATGAAGTCAGTTCCTGGATTTAATGTCCTAAATATCCACTGCCTAGAAGAGTAAATATTACTTTAACCCCCCCGTCCATAATTCATGGATAATGGCAAAAATTAGGAAGCATAAAAAAATGCGGAAGAAGGAAATAAAAATTGCCCATTATCTCACCATATGGAAGTGACTAATATTAGCATTTTAAACCATTTGTTTTTAAAATTAATAATAAATTGCATATATTTATTGTGTACAATGTGGTGTTTTGAAATATGTATACATGGTAGAATGGTTAAATTGAGTATCTCACTTATTTTGTGGTGAGAGGACTTAAAATCTATTCTTTTAGGGATTTTCAAGAATACAATACATTGTTATTAACTGTAGTCACTACAGTTAATCTTGACAGCTCTCTTGAACTTATTCCTCCAACTGAAATTTCGTATCCTTTAGCCAACATCGCCCCAATTCCTACCCCTAATCCCTGGTAATCACCATTCTAATCTCTAATTCTATGAGTTTGACTTTTTTAGATTTAGAAAATGTGGTATATTTACTTAATGGAATACAATTCGGCCTTAAGAAAGAAAGAAATCTCGTCATTTACAGCAACATGGAGGAACTTGAAGGACATTATGTTAAGTGAAATAAGCCAGGCACAGAAAGACAAATACCACATGATCTCACTTATATGGTGAATCTAAATATGCCAACATGTTTGCATACTTCTATATTTTTCTGTATATTTGAACTTATTGATCTTACATTTTGATTAATAAAAGATCGTAAGCATATATTTTCAGACAGGTGGAGAAAACGGACAGGAATATGATTCTACTTATATGGCATGAACATGTAAGATTTGATTATGCCTCTTATCCCAGTGTAATTACAAATAGTGCCTCTTTCACTCTCAAAAGTCTTAGTGGAAGCAAGTCTGAAGAAAGTTGGAGGAAAGGGTAGAGTTTTACAGGGAAGTTAAGGAAAGTTAAGATAAAGATAGTTGAGCAAAAATAGTAAACCATTATACTGTCAGTTTTGAAGCCACCAAAAGAAATTTAACTTAACATTTTAAATAATTAGTGCTAATTAATTATTTAACTTAAAATTTGGGGGCCAGGTATAGTGGCTCACGCCTGTAACCCCAGCACTTTGGGAGGCTGTGGTGGGCAGATCATGAGGTCAGGAGTTGGAGACCAGCCTGGCCAACATGATGAAACCCTGTCTTTACTAAAAATACAAAAATTAGCCAGGCGTGATGGCGTGCACCTGTAATCCCAGCTACTCAGGAGGCTGAGGCCGGGGAATCGCTTGGACCAGGAGGTGGAGGTTGCTGAGCTGAGATCATGCCACTGCCCTCCCGCCTAGGCAACAGAGTGAGACTCTGTCTCAAAAAAATAAATAAAATAAAATTTGGGAAGGAGGAGAAAAGCAGGAGGGAGAAGTGTTAAGTGAGTTAAGTTCTCATCTTGGATGTTGCCCAAACAGGAACAATGGCACCACATAGAATGCAGTTCTATGGAACTGCTCTTATGGAAACTCCATGGCCACTTCACACTATCCCTTCACACTTTTGATTTGAGGACTAGAGTCTAGTTTATACCTAGACCATAGAACCTCCACTACAGTTACTGCAGAGTATTTCTACCCACAGATTGGCTAGAACATCCCATCATCCCAAGTGCTAATATTTTTCTGAGTTTTACCTAAGCAGTGTGTTTGCTTGATAAAAACTAGGTCACATATGGGTTCTCAGTTTCAAGAGAGTCTAGGAAATGCAGGGTTTTTTTTTTTTGTTTTTTTGTTTTTTTGTTTTTAAGTTTGCTAGCTTCTGTAGTATGGGAAGGCAATAGAAGCTGTTGGAGTTTGCACTGAGTAAGCCAATTTGCAGGATTTTCCATAATCTACTGTCCTAAATAACACCTGTTGACAGTATTTTTAAAAGTAAATATTGTACATATATAAAATGAGAAAATTTATACAGTAGAGCAGGTGTAAAATAAAAGGTAAAAGCTGCTTTTTATTACCCTCTTCTATTAGTTAGTCCCCACTCCCTATCCAGCCACCCCCAACCAGACCTGACAGCTTACAAATCTCACCCTGGAGAAATGGTTTCCCTCCTACTGGGGCAGTTCTCAGGCGGTTCAGAATTGCCAGGACTGTGGATTCCCAGCAACGACCTGGCAGACACCGGGAATCCAAGACCATGGCAAGCGTTCAGCATCATTTTCATTTTGAACTGGGCCTTAAAAATTAGGTGGCCAGCCGGGCGCGGTGGCTGACTCCTGGAATCCCAGCACTTTGGGAGGCCGAGGCAGGCGGATCACGAGGTCAGGAGATCGAGAACATCCTGGCTAACACGGTGAAACCCCGTCTCTATTTAATACAAAAAAAATTAGTCAGGTGTGGTGGTGGGTGCCTGTAGTCCCAGCTACTCGGGAGGCTGAGGCAGGAGAATGGCGTGAACACGGGAGGCGGAGCTTGCAGTGAGCGGATATCACCCCACTGCACTCCAGCCTGGGTGGACAGAGCTAGACTCCAACTCAAAAAAAAAAAAAAAAAAAAAAAAAAAAA